CCTCTCGCGGAGCTTCCGCGCTGGCGTCGCCGCCGGCCGAAGGGGTCTCAGAAGTCGGAGGCGCCCAGGAGGCCAGGTCATCGATCGGGTTGAAGGCGCCGTCGGTGATGAGCGCGGCGCGCTTGCCAGGGCTCTGGCCGGGGGGCGTGCTAAAGCGCGCCCAGGGGCCTGCAAGCCGCCCGTAAATGGAGGGCAGGCTGAGCTCGGAGTCTGCCATCGCCGGCATCACGCGGCCGTCGGCGATGATAACGACGCCCCTCCTGGCCCGAGTGAGCCCCACGTTGGCCCTGCTGGGGTTGTCCACGAAGCCCCGCACGCGGTCTGAGTTGGATCGCGCGGCGAGGAAGATGACTAGGTCAGCTTCGCCGCCTGGGCCTGCGTCGACCGCGGAAAGGGCGAGGGTCTCAGGGGCCAGAGGCTCGCGGGCAATCTGTCCGATGCCGGGGAAATCCAGGTCGAGGCCGTTGGCGGGAGAGGCCCATTGACCAAAGACGTTCGCATGTCTGCGTCGATCGGGGGCGCAGTTGGAACCACTGGGGTTGGGCGCCGACCGACCACCCGTAGCGGTTTGGGCTGAGGCAATCGGGGAGCAGCTACCTTGGCGGGTCGGTTCGGGGGCAGGGGCGCCTGAGGTGTCGGAACGGCGGTGCCCGGCGGCGGCGGGTGGAGAGGGCCGTCTCGGACCCAACGCAATAAGGGGCGGCCGTAGGTCGGAGGGGGGGCGAGTGCGCCTGTCGTCTTCCATGGCCGCAAGCAGGGCGCGGGCAGGAAGGGGCCAGCCATGCTTGAGGACTCCCTTCTGTAATCGGTAGGGGGCGATAACCTTGACTGCGAGGCCGTCGCCCATCTCTGGAACGAGGGCCCGGACGAGATCCATAGTCAGGGCAGCCTCAGGAACGTTGGCATGCCCCTCGGACAGGCGCGCCGCGAGCTCGTAGGACCTGCTGTCCACCGGCAGTGCACGGTGAGAATCGTTTGGGTCGTCTGGGGGGGTCGGGCGCAAGCCATGGCAGTCCCACATAAGATCCTCAACGTTGCAGCCCAGGTGGGAAGCGAGGAGGGCGGCCTGCCCGAGAGAGGCCCGGGACAAGGGTGCCCAGAGAGCGGGGCGGAAAGGGCGCTGACCAGCTGACCGCTGCAGTAGACAACGAAGGGGAATAGTAACAGGGATTGGTGGAGGCGCAGATGCGGGCCAGGGCGGTGAAAGCAGTGTTCGGGCCATCAGGCGCGCACCCAAGGGAGTCGAGCAAGCGTTGGTATACGGATAGGTGGAGGCCCAGGTCGGCAGCCCTTCGGGAGAGGACCGCGGGCGGGAGCTGCTGCGGGTCGCCCACGACCACGAACCCGCCCCCGCTGCGGATGACGTGCACGATGGACACAGCAGCAGAAGCCTCGTTGGCTTGCCCATCCTTGTCTATAATACGGAGTGGCATGCGCATGGGGCACCTCCCGCCGAGCTCCGCCGCGGCTTCGTGGGTAGCGTAGATGGCGACCGAGCCCTCCACGACATCCTTCTTGAACTCGTTGAAAGCCGCGTGGTCACCGAACTCTGGGGGGAAGGAGCCGTAGGCGTTGAAGTAGTGTCCTCTGGGGCCCGCGGGACGAGCCCGCGGTCGACGTTCCCCTCCGAGCGAGCCGCGGGCGAGCATACGGGCACATAATTTCTTCCAACGGGCGTTTGCCCTTGGGGGCGAGGGCCAACAGCGGTTGGTCAGCCGCGGCGTTGGAACTGGAGATGACGCCGACAGGTTGCCCAGGGGGTAACGCGGGGGCCCACGCGGCGACCAGCGCGGCGATATTGCTGGTCTTCCCGGGGCCAGGGGGGCCGTGGACCAGGGCGGCAAAATGGTCGTTGCCAGAGTGGAGGACGCGTCGGGATAGCACACTGAGGGAAAGGGCGTCCGCGGTGCGGTTGAGCTGCTCGGCCGCCGTCGGTGCACTGCGAGGACGCTGGAAGACCATTCCAATGTTTTACTCAACGTCGCTGGGGGCGGTCGCGCTTACACCCTGAGTCGGGGAGGGCAGCGCCGGAGGCGTCGGGGTCGGGGACAGGGAGCTTCGACGCAGCGGCGGCAAGGCGCCGCAAGGCATAGCCTATGTCCGTAGTCGCCCGGACCCTCCAACAGCGAGCTCAGACGGGGGCCCGTCAAGGCGGTGCAGCGACGGGGCCGCCTGGCCGATGCGGGGGGCAGCGTCTTTGCAGGGGTGAAGGCCCCGAACTTGCCCTGGCTGCATTTGGCGAGGCACATGTTCGATGGGTACTTGTACACGGGTTAACTCCAATACGTCTGCATTCGGTCGCGGACAGCGCGTTCCCGAGCTCCTTTAGACCAGGCCACACCACGTCGAATACCGCGATCTCGTCCTCCGAGGGGCCCGCGACGGAAAGGGCCACCTTCTCGAAGCAAAGGCCGTCGGAGTCCTCGTGCTTGATGGAATACTTGGGGCCCCAGTCCAGCAGAAAGCAGGCCCACCTGTCGTCAGGCTTGACCTGGTCGGCAATCTTGTAGGCCCCACAACCCGGCGGGCGCGTGAGTAGGGCCAACTCTGCGTGCGATACCTCGAGGGCCACGGACTGCCTGCGTTGGAGTCCACTGCGGGCCCCTGCTCTCGATCCACATAATGCGCTGCAGGCGGCTGCCCCATTCGCGCACGGTGCGCGGCCAATCGACGGGGAGAATGACGGCGCCTGGGACCTGGCACATGGGCTGTTTGACTAGCGTCCTTGTCCTCAGCTCCGTGGTTGGGAGCTCATAGAGCTGCTGGATCCCCCTCGCGGCGATGAGTTCGGGGGGGGGGGGGGGGGGCGGAAACCGCAGGCGCAGTGGCTGGCCTTGGACTGCGAGGGGCACGGCTGCGCCTTCTCGCAGACCCCCGAGGGGCGGACACGGCGAGCCACGCGGAGGCGCTGGTGGCACCGACGTTCGGCGGGTGGAGGGGCGGGGCGGGGGCCCCAGGGGGGGGCCAGCTGGAGGCGGAAGGATGACCTCGTCGGCAGGGGGGCCGCCCCGGTGCCCGGGGGCAGCGCCGAGGGGGTTGCGCGCGACGTCGGGGTCGACCAGGGCGGGGGAGTCGGAGGGCAAGGGGTAGCTGAGGGGCAGGTGGCACCAGTCGTCGGGGAACTGAACATTCGCTAATTGACGAATGCCATCCACTATGTGCGAGTCGGAGAAGTGCCAGCCTCTCCACTTCAAGCGCGGAAACGTCTGCCCGGAGATCCGATCTTCGTAATTATCTCCCATGCCGGTCCAGTTGCCAACGCCAGTGAACGTTTGGGGGTAGGCCATCCGATCTCTCTCGCGCGTGTCAACTGATAAAGGTGGGCGGGTTCGGTGAAGCGCTGCCTGCCAGCGACTTCTTTCTGGCAGGACTCGCAGTAGAAGCACCAGCGCCCATTGAAGTACGCCCAGCGAAGCCAGGGGCACAGACGGGCGACCAACAGACGACGTCCCTGGACTCCTTGGCGAGGAGGGGCCGGGGAGCACTGATCGCAGCAGGGCCACAGGGCCAGCGGCCCCAGGTGGTTCTTGCCGCCCATGGTGCATCGCCCAACTAGCCCAGCACCTTAGCGCCCCGCGCGGCGGGCATCGGGGCGCGCGCGACCCGCTTGTCCGAGCTGCTCAACGGTGGCGGCGACGGCATCGAAATCGAAGAGGTCAGTGGAGATGGGGAAGGGCGGGGGGAGGGGAGGAGGGCGCTTGAGCCAGACAGTGTGCGTGGAGAGCCGGACGTTGCCTTCGCATCGTAGGACAGCCGCCCAGTGGGCACCTATGGTGGCCATCTGGTCCGCGGCTAGGTTGAACCGTCCTCGCACGGCCTGCCAGGTGAGAGTCCAGCCGGCCTCGTTGGCCTGCCGGAGGGCAAAGTCCATCTGCTGACGCAGGTGAAGCCTATGGAATCCACCCGTACCGGCGCCGCACCGCATAGCGGCAAGGTTGTCTCCAACTATCCTAGCGGCCCGCACCAGTCCAGGGACGCGCGGAAGGAGGGCCAGCCCCGCTCTGCAGCCGGCCGCCTCTGCCGCCTGGGCGTCGTCACATCCTGGAGGGGCTCATATCGAGATGGCCACGAGCTGTGGGGCGGCCCGCTGGGGGTCGCGGGCGCCACCGTCAAAGGTAATCTCACAAGGCCAGCAGGCAGCGTCTGCAGAAGGGGAAGGGGCCCGGTCCACCGTGACTTCGTCCCCCTGCTCTAAGTCTTGGGTAGCCGTGAGGACGAGCGTGTGTGAGTTGCACGTTGAGCAGAATTTCATGGTCCACTGCGAGGTGGGCTGTCTGGAGGGCCGTGGGCAAAGAAACCAGCCTCGTCCGGGGAGTAGCCACCCGGCGCAAGGATCGCCTGCTTGGATGGCGGCCAGGCGAGAGCCGGCCCGGGTCCAGATTTGCGGCCGTAGGCAGCCGTCTGGCGTCTCCTCCGCCCCGGTCGGCAGAGCGCGTCTGGTGTGGGCGGGCAGTTCCCTGTACGATACCGAGCCCAGGTGGGTTGAAAGCCGAGAAAGCTGCAGCGTACAACATAGATGTTACCTCTGCCCCCCGCCCCCCCTCTCCGTACTCCCAGCGGACAGAACAAGAGAGGAGAAGAAGAGAGGGAGAAGCAAGGAGACGCAAAAGAAGGGCAAAAGAAGGCCGAGAAGAGAGAGAGAGAGAGAGAAGGAGAGAGCAGAAAGAGAGAGAGAGAGAGAGATAAGAGGAACAGCATCAGAACTGAAAATCACAACTGTAAACCTAGGCGTGCATCATACATATAGGCGAACAAAGAGACAGAGAGAAAGAGGGAAAGAGACAAGGAAAAAAAAGAAAGAGGCAACCACCGCCCTGGGTCAGGCACCGAAGCCCCTGCCTGACACGGCGCCCACAAGTGGTTCGGAGAATCGCGAGAACATTCGAAGCGGGAGGAGGGGGGAACCACGGCCGAGGCCCGCAACCGCCCCTTCCCCCTGACCTCAGCGAGAGCGGCGACGGCGGCAGCGACGTCAGCGGCGCGGTCGCGCCATTCCAATATTTTTGTTCCGCGACGGCCGCGCGCCCCCGACCTGGAGTCGCCTCGCACCGCGGACAGCCGTGGCCGCGTTAGCCGCCGAAGGGGTCAGGGGGTCAAAAGTCATACACATTCCCCTGGGGAGGGGGGCGCCCGGGGCGCGCCAGGGGCGAAGATCGAGGATCGAGGCCGGAGAACTTGGGGTACTGCGCGTTTCCTAACATCCTGGTGACCTCTGGAGACCTTCGGAGAGGGTGGAGGGTGAGGGGGCTGGCCTTAGAAGAAGGCAAGGGGGCCGCTTGGAGGGGATCGGCCACTCGGAAACGATGCGCCCAACGCCTTCAGAGGGGCGGGAGTCCTTCTTGGACGGCCGCCCTCCTGCCTTTGCCCACGTTTGCGCGCCGCCGACAGCTGCCAGAGAACAATCAACATCGACTGGTTATTGGCCAGTTTGGTCGCCACCTGGTCCCTGCAGGGCCTGTTTGGGTTTTCCTGGTCCCCATGGCGGTGGGTGCGACAGACTCGACGCATGGGCGAAGAGTACGCGATCGCACCAGTCCGCTGGGCGCTGGGCAGAGACGACAGGCCAGCTCGCAGGTAACCCCTGCCACAAAGAGGGAGGAAGGGTGGCCTCATTGATGGCCCCGTTGGCAGTTCTCTTTCCATCCGCCCTGGGGTCTCTCTTTAGCTGTAGAAGTGGCGGCGCAGAACAAGAAAAAAAAAAAAACGGAAAAAACGGCGGTCTTCTCAAAAGGCCCGGCCCCGCCCTGGGAAGATGCGAAAAGGTGCGGCGTTCAAGAGTCAGTGGCTTTCGAAGAGGCACCCCCACCTTCTTGCAGGCGCTCCCCCGAGCCCCGACAGGCTGAGAGGGCCGCCGTCCCTCGCACTCGCCGCCGACCAGGGCCGAAGGGCCCCGTGGCCCAGGCCTCCGATGGCACGTTCCCTCCCTACGCGGGGAAACTTCTTTCGGGGGGAGCGAAAGGGTATCAAAGGGTAGGGTGGACGATCAGCTCACGTAGCTGGTTTTCCTGGCGCCTCCTGGCGCCGGGAGGCGCCCATATATCCACGAGTGGGCCTGGCGGCGGGGCGGAAACCAGCCGCATACAAAGAATTTCGTAACACCCCCGTTACATATACCCATTGGTCTGGCCCGATCTTTGTCCTTGCTCGTCGTTGTCGCCCCCAGGTCCCAAAAACGGCCCCTGGAGCCTGACAACAGCGAAGAACCTTCATCTGGCTTTTTCAGAGTGCTGGCGGCCTGGGGGTGGCAAACCGACCACGGCGCGAATTCGAAAACTCCCCCCAGCAGCATTGCCGCTGCCGCCGCCAGCGCTGGGGCGCTGGTGCGACCAGCCGCAGTCGGTCGCGGTTGGCCTCTGGGCGCAGGGAGGGCCCGGCTGAAAAGAGGGCAATCAGCGACAGGAACGAGTGTAGGAGGATCCCAACTACAAACTATATACCCACGCCGGTTCTGGCCAGGCCAGTCCTGGGCCCAAGATCGGTGGATTCGCCCTCCTGGTGAACCCAGGACTTGCTCTGACAGGATCCGTGCAAAAGCGAACAGCTGGCGCCTTACCATCCCTCGTCCAGGCCTCGTGTCAGCCACCGCGGCCCGCCACGCGCAGGTGGCGGCGCGACCTCCACGAGGCGGCCTCTGGCCCGGCGCAGCACGGCGCCGCCGCCGCCGCCTCCGCGCCAGCGTCAGCCGCCGCGACGCGGCGGCGCGACCGCCACGAGGCGGCGCCCTCTGGCAAGGCAAGGCTGGCTGGCTCGGCGCGACACGGCGCCGACGCCGCCTCCGCGCAGGCGGCGCCCTCGCGCGCGTGCGCGGAGACCTCCGGTCTACCAACGACGGCGCCAACGACGCTGACGTCCGCAGCGGCGGCGGCAGGGCAGCTGCCGCCAGCGTCCAGTGAGGAGGGGGCCGCAGAGCTGTCTGTTTGAGCTTTGCCGCCCTTCTCGCCTAAGGCCGCCGCACCCTGGCCCGCGGCGCATGTGGGGTTCCCGCCTGAGGTGCCGCCCGATCCGAGCCACACGTCCGCGGGCGCTGTCGCGGCGTCCGTCTTGCGCTCCCTGCCGTCCTTCGTCTTGCCGATGGCCAAGTTCTGCCTCTGCTCCTCGGCCTGGGATACAACCCACTGGCTAGCGTTGAGCAGCTTGGGCTTCAGCGCAGCGTCCGCGCCCTTGGACCGGCGCTCTGCGTCCGCAAGGCGCCGCTGGATCCTGCACAACTGCGTCTGGTTGGTGGCCTTCCGCAGCTCCTCTGCAGCGTCGATGACCACCTGCGGCCTCGCGAGCTTCTGCGCCACGACCTCTGTGCTGCGGGTCGCGGCGCTCTTGGTGGAACGCGGCCCGCCGTCCAGGCGCTGCTTCTCCAGCCTGCGCAGCCTTGCCTCCTCGCTCTGGATGAAGTCTGGGACACCGGCGCCCTCGGGATGCCTCTCGACGCTGCCGTCGCTCAGCACGTGCAGGACTGTGTGCCCCGCCTCTTCAAGCCGAGCGGCGATTGCCAGCCGATGGTCCGACCGCCAGTCGGCCTCCGCCCCGAGGATGGCCGTGCGCCTCCTGTGCGCCTTCCACACGAGCTCCGCCAGCGTGTTACGCCCCTCGTCCTCCCGCAGGTGCTTCAGGATCCCGTAAGCCCCCTCCCGACCTAGGTCCACGTGCTTGTATTCGATGGCCCTGGCCTTGCACGCGGGACGGAGCGCCTCGGGCCGGAAGTGCCGGCAAGACGTGGACTCTGGGTGCGCCCGCAGATCGAACAGGGCGCGAATCGAGTGGAGGGACAGGAGTTCGAAGAAGTCCTTCTCGCGAGCGTCTCCGCAGCCGTAGGCATACACCGTCGCCGGATCCTGCTGCTCGATGTGGAGGTGCTCGCGCTTGGCCATCGATGCCATCAGGTCGCCCCGCTCGTCCCATTGGCCTGCGTCCTCCCTGTCCAGCATCTCGTCGTACTGGGCGAACTGGGCCTGGAGGGCGCTTTCGTCGACGGCCCCCCCGGGCGCCTCCTCCTCCAGCATCTGGATCTCGACCAGGATCGCCTGCTCCTCATCCTGGAGCTCCACGTGGCCGTCCTCCTGCTGCAGCTTCCGCGCGAGCTCTGCGTCGTCTTCACAGGCTGGGCCCGCGCTCGACGAGGCCGAAACGCCCGAGCCGGCCCCGGCCCCAGCTGCGCCGCGATGCACATCGGCCAGCCGGGCGTACAGCACGGCCAGCCGGGCAGCGGCACAGCACGGGCCCTCCTGGCCAGGGCCATGCTGCGCGGCCCCCTCCAGCAGCGCTGGGGCGATGCCCGCCAGGAGGGCCTCGGCCGCCTGCCCCACGTCGAAACCAGTGGCTCGCAGGGCCGCGGCAGCCTCCTGCTCCGCGAAGCCGAGCTCCCTAAGGCGCGCGAGGTCCTCGCCCAAGGGCCCCGCCCTCAGGCCGGCGCGCTGGGGCTCGGTCGCCAGGTCCCTGTCCCTCCGCCAGGCCACGAGCTGCCGCGAGGGCCCGTCCTCCGGGTCCACGATGGGTCGCCACGGGTTGGCGCCGTCGGCGTGCTGCCCATGGGGCATGAAGAAGAACACGGCCGAGGCGCGGCCGCCGTAATCCTCCATCGTGCCGCCCTCGAGATGCATACGTGGGACGCCGTGCCGCTGCGTGCCGAACACGATGAGGTCCCCGTCCCGCAGGAGGACGGGCGTGCCGTCGATGGTGAGGATGCGCGGCGAGCCGAACGACATCAGCGCAGTCCAGCACTCGTGCCTGTGAGGGACGGCGTCCGCCGTGCCGTCGGGATACCAGAGCAGCCCCGGTCTCGTCAAGACGCGGTCCTGGATGCTGAGCTGGCTCAGCAACTTCTGGGTCACTTTGTCTAGGTTGGGGCGCTGGCCAGGCTCGTACCCTCCCCTCGCTTGCTGGTTGCCCATGGGCCGCATACGCCCTTCTCTGTCGTACTTTATGACCCGGCCGCCGTTGCGGAAGTCGTTCCCCCAAGCCATCTGTTGCTGCCAGTCGGAGCTCTGGACCACCTCGTCGTAGATCCCGAGACCCCCGCCGAAGCCCCGCGTGATTTGAATATCGCGCCAATACTCAGTCTTGAGGTACTCATGCACCCCAGGCGGCCGCGGCACCTCATTGGGCTCCTTGCGCCACCAGGCCTGCACGAACCTCTCCGACCTGCCCAGGGCCGCCGCGATCTCGGCCTTGGCCGAGCCCTCTTGGCGCATGGCGATGGCCTTGAGGCGGTCGTTGTACTCCTGGTGTCCCTGCGAGCTGCTGGACACGAAATGGCCCTCGGGGTCGGTGGCTTCACAGAAATCTGTCCAGTGCTCCTTGTCCCACTCGACCTCGGCTCGGCCAGGCGAAGTGACCAGCGAGAAGGGGGGGGGAGGAAAGTGGCACATCTGGTGTCCAGGCCTCCTCCTCACCCTCCTCGTCAACCTTCCCCTCCCCCGCCTCCGCATCCTTTTCTGCCATCCCGTCCACGCACGTATCTCCATACTCCCTCCCCCTCCCCATCCACGCAGCCGGCCCCATCCCCCCTTTCCTGTAGTTTATCCTCATCATCCTCCTACACTTGCTCCTCATCAAGAGTAGATCACTGACCCTCCGTATCCATATCACCCTCCTCTTACTCCTCTACCTTCTCTTCGCCCTCCCTCCTGCTCCAGCTCCTCGTGATCCTCATGCTCTCCTGCTCATCATGCTTCTCCTCCTCCCTCCATCTGGATCCACCCATACCTCCTCTTCCTCCTCGTCCTCGCCCTCCTCCCTCCCTCCCTCCCTCCCTCCCTCGTCCTTCATTCGGGCTCCGTGCTCGAGCCGCCGTTCACTCAAGCTCCGTGCTCCCCCCTCCCTCCTTCCTTCCATCTTCTTCAGGCCCCGTGCGCGACCTGCCCGCCTGTTCCCAATTCCCATTTCGGGCCCTGCCCTTGTGGCGGAAGTGGCGGAGGGGGCTCCCCTTTTCTGATACCCCTCACAGCTAGCCTGCGTACGGAACCTAGCGCGTCAGCCTGGCAGGCTGGCCGCGACATTCAATATTGCAGTCGTGCTTATTCCTGTCTTTCCGCAAACTGCTCTTTCTGCCTCGGCGGCGTCGTGCCATGTTTCCTCAATGGCCTAAGGGTAGCCGGTTTCCTACACCGCCGCCACCACCACCTCGTGCTCCGCATCCAGCAAAGTGCTGATCACCTGCAGCAGAAGGGCCATCATCAATGGCGTCGTCGACTAAGGGCTTGCATCTACCCCCGTTTCCGCTCGACCCTGCTACACTACTGCCACCAGTTCCGCCAGCCCCATTTCTTCGAACAGACTCGAGCAAGCAGGCGTGGCCGAGCACGATTCCGTTGGCTTCTCCACCTGGGTAGTTCGTTCTCCAGCCTCGTGCTGTTCTCCCAGGGCGCGAAGGAGAGTGTACACTGGAACAGGCCGCTCAGCAGTCGGACCGTCGGCGCAGTAGATGGGCCAGGTTCAGCCAGATGGGCAAGCAGGATCATCAGGAACATCCTGAGACTGGCCGAATGAGGGGTGATGCGTCAGGCTGCGAGCACTCTAATAGGAAGTACACAACCTTCGCATGCCCCCTTGGGACTCACCCAGTCGCGCTTCCGCTCCCCTTGGCGCTCTGTCGGTAATCTGGCAAGTCATCTTCGTCGAAAGGACGATGGTGAGCGTCAATTCCACAGGGAAAACGATCCGCCTTCTCCTCGTGCGGGGCGCCCACCGATAACCCTGAAGGGGAGAAGGCGACAGACTTTGTTCGGCCCAGTCTCAGACAGGCCTTTCCACTAATAGACAAGAAGGTAACTTCAACGTATTTCGTCAAGCTCTTTTGGCTGGTCGTTCCTTGATCAATGCGTGCAAACAAGCGTCGTTTCCGCAAGATGTACGTCCTCCTCTTCCCCCAGTTGATGCTTCTGTCCGCACACAGGCCAAAGGTCGGCGCCAGAAGGGCAAGCCCCTTTCAGGCGCCTCCGATTTGCACTTCAGGAAAGAAGTGGTGGCCTGTCGTTAGAAGCGACAGCAGTCGCTACCATTGCTTGCCGTGAAAGTCGTCATAATTGCAGGAATGCGCCTTTTGTAACAAGCGAACGGTTGACGGCTTTTGGAGAGGACCGATGCGCGAGAATGGACATATAGCACTCAACACCCGTAACTTCAGATAGCACCGCCGAGACCCCAAACCCCTTTACCTCAACGGGTCAGATAGCACGCACGTGCTGCACGAGGACAGCCCAAAAGGACAGAACAGGGGGGAAACGTCAGCCAGCGCCATCGCAAAAATCTAGGAGGCAGGGGAGAATGAAGCGAGGGCACCGGCGCAGACCCAGTCCCTGCATATTCCACGAAAAACCCGACTTCCCTTCAAATCCCGGGAATGTCCACGGAGGTCCAGGCGAGGGAGCAGGGTCCCTGACCAGCGCCTTCCCCCGCCAAAAACCGAAGTCGGCTGAGGGAGGCACGGGAGACGGGACCCTGAGGGGAGAGCGGGCGTGGGGCTGGGGAGGAGGGCAGAGGGCCCAAGCAGATGGGCGGGCCGGGCAGGGGGAGGGGCAGACAGCACACGGCCCGAGGGGGGGCACCCCAGACCCCCCGAGCACCCCGCACGAAGGAATCCACGGTCCAGCAGCCGAGGAAGGCCTCCCCTCACTCCCGCACGCCACGCGGGACCCTCGGGCACCCGAAGTGGTCCTACTTCAGCGCCTTGGCTGGACGGGCGGGAGGAAGATCCTGGCCCCTTTCGCGGTCCTATCGGTCTGGTCCCCTTCCGACGCGTCTAAGAATGAACCCCCCGCCCCTCGGGGCGTGTGCAATCTGCCTGGGTCGGCCCCCTGCCCTCCCCCCCCCTGGGCGTGTGATATCTACTTGGCCGCGGGATGGGGACGTGGGTCCTGGCCCGGAGGTGCCTGGGGAGGCACCCAAGGGTCCCGCGGGCGGGAGTGAGAGGAGGCTGTCCTCAGCTGGCGGACCCCCACCCGTGGTCAGGCAGATGGCGCACGCCCAAAAGGGGTTGGGGGGGGCGGGCAGGACACGGGGGAGGGGGCAGGCTGCCGCCCCAGGCAGATGGCACACGCCCCGAGGGGGGCACCCATTCCAAGACGTACTGCAAGGGGGGGGCCAGACAGATGGCACAGCGAAGGGGGCTGTGTCGTCCAGGAACGCGGGTTAGGCAAGTGGCACACCTGACGAGTCTCTGTTGCAAGTGCTATCTAAGCAGCTGCGCGCATGGGTCATGCAAGCGTGGCAACATATTCGTTGATAAAGAATGCTGGGTTTACCACACTCTGCCAGCTGAACAGGAGGCGTGGACCCAGCGGTTCGATAAGCATGCCAGTGAGTTGCCGCATGACTTTGAGGACTTGCCTGGGCAAGGACAGGGGTCGGGGCAGCCTCAGCCAGCTGAGCTTACATTTACGTTTGCTAGGCGTGGTATTCCTGCCCCCTTCCCCAGTGGGACTCCCCTTCGCTCTCCCTTCTGGCTTATCCCAATAACCGGTGTCAAACAGTGGCTACCGCGTCGGAATTGGTTGTCGGACGCTTTTGTTTCACAATTCAATATTCTGTGCTAGATGCCAAAACCTGCCTATCCAGTTGGGGACAGCTTCTTCGCTCTCTCTCCCGTGTGACTCCCCCTTCGTCTCTATATCATGCGATTGTGTTTGCATGTGCGATTCCTGCTGAATGTTTCTCTGCTTGATTTTGAAATGTCCGCCCCGGTTGGCCAAAACTGCGTTTTCAGTTCGGGACCTCCCCTCCCCTGCTCACATGTCGCGGGTCTCCCCCAGCCCGACGCTGGGCTTCGCGACATCTGTGCCTAGTACGGGGTGCTGCTCTTCGTGAGCGTCTGAGGAGCTCATGACTCCTGGAATATCGGCGAGCTTTCCCCCGAGTCGTGCTCGGAGGACTAAGTCGTCGGCAGCTGCTTGCTCTGTACCAGCTAATTCCTCATTTGGCCTCCCCTCTCCCGTCCTCACGCTCACGTTCGCTTGCTTTGGCGCACGGAAGTGTGTGAGGTCGCTGTCTAGCGCGCCTTCATGGGGACGGTGGAGATTAAAGAACGAAATGGCTCACCGGAGCCAACAATTCGTCTGTGCTTCTTCCTGCCTCTGTCGCGGAATTATGTTCGGGGTGTTGATCCCTGAGCGTATCCTGGCCCCTTGTAGGGCCAACCACGACCGTCAAGCTCAATCGAGCTAGGCGGTCGCTCCGCAACAGGGGTACGACCCTTCCTTTGCGGACAGCCGATCCGATACGTCCCTCCTTCATTCATCCTCCCTCCTCCTACTCCTCATCCCTCCTCAGGTTTTCCCCTCCGCCTCCTCCTCCTCCTCCTCCTCCTCCTCCTCCTCCTCCTCCTCCTCCTCCTCCTCCTCCTCCTCCTCCTCCTCCTCCTCCTCCTCCTCCTCCGAATAAACCAATGGCGGGGTTCACCATGGGGCCAAGGGGTACGAAGCGCGCGAGGGGTGCGCCGAAAAGAAACGAGTCACGCACCCACCGTGGCACGCCACCACATGGCCTCTGCTGGGGCCGCTGGGGCACGAGACAAGTATGCGAGGGGCGCGCCGAAAAAGGCCCCTTGTAATACACACCTACACACACACACAAATCCTTCGATTTGCGATGTCTCCAAAACGGACGAGAATACGTTATATGTCGGTTCCTGGGCGCGTTTTCGGGACCCGTGGCCATCAGAAACGCCCCCTGTGGGACCGTCAGAAACGGCCTGGCAAAGAAGCCTGTCGCAGAGGACCAGGAGGCCCAAGGACCATGTCGTGAAAAACATTACCTCGGAGGTCTGGGCAGGGGAAGTGGAAGACCAGAGATATGTGTTTGGTCCTGGCGGTTTTCTGAGCCAAGCCTTTCTGATACAACCGGGCCGACCCCTGAACCAATGGGTACGGAATCGCTGGTCTCTCTCTATCAGTGAACGCGTTTACTTCCGCTGGCGATGCCGACCGTGCTTGACTACCGCTGGTTTCCAGGGGCTTTGCGCTGACTTCCGCCGAGGGACAGATGCCAACCTCTCGGTTCCCCTAGGACGAGGCTCTGGTTGGGACGCCCTGTCTGTTTGGGTGTGGCCAGGGCTTCTGACCCTTGAGGAAACGCGCGGTGCCGCCCTCTCTGCCTCAGGGTCCCCTTCCAAGCACACTCGCCTTCACAGCCACGTCGGCCACCGAGTGGGCAGTTCTGCTGGGCTCGATTCCGACTCGGCGGCGGGGACTGGGCCAGTGCGTCCGCCGGAGAAGCTCAATATTGGGTCCGTTCGGCTGGGGCGGACCACCCCCAAGACCTCCCACGACGTGCCCCTCGGACCTCCCGATACCATCCCCGTGACTGCCTTGTCGCC